TGGCTCAGGAGAAAATGGAGCTGGACCTGGAGCTGCCGGCGGGGAGCGCGCCGGCCCCGAGCGACGTGGGGAGCCTGAGGAGATCGAACAGCGCCCCCCTCATCCACGGGCTGAGGTGAGACCGGGCCCGGCGCCCCCCTCGGGCCCCCGGGCCGCGTCCCCCGCGGGCTGGGGGAGACCCGGGCCTGGCGCCTCCGCGTCCCCGGCTGTGGTGGGAAATCCTGGACCGCTGCCCCCACCTCATCCAGGGGCGCATCCTGTGGTGTTCAGGGTGAGGCGAGGAGGCCTGTTTTCTGGACACACATCTCTAGCTTCCTTTTTGCGGGGAGGCGGGGGACTAGTTGTAGGTACCTAGGTCCAAGTGTCAAGTCTCACAGGATAACAAGCTGCACTGCCTTTCACTGCATGCCCCAAACCCATTGCAAAGGCACCATTCCCTGCCAACAGCCTTCCTGCCTCTGTCACCCATAGCCTCATCACTGTGGATGTATTTAGACTTCTGTGGGGTGACTCTAGTTAAGCCAGTGGGGCTGCACATGAGGGGTGGGGGGGAATTCTGTGCTGTCCCACAGGGGCACCGTTTCAACCATGTGGTGGGAAAAAGGGGGCAGGAGAAGTTTAACTGTGAATCACGGGGCAACTTAGGCAACTCAAGATTCTATATGTTATCTTAAATGAAATCTGAAAGGAGCACTGTATCTAATTCTTAAATCAATTTTTTAAATATGTGACCCATTCCCCAGGCCAAGAGTGGATTTTAACCAGCTGCTGCTTTGCCACATGACTATGGGCTCAGCTTTGATACTAACCAGTTCTGACAAATTGTGGCAAAAGGGACGCTGGTTAGATTTTCTAGTCAGATATTTTAATTAAAGTCAGAACTTATAGGTGCTGACTTATGTTTGCCAGTGGTGCTTTTCATTTATTTAAATCATGATTTAAATCACCAAAAAAAAAAAAATCACCAATTTAAATCTGGTTTTCCACTGTTAGTTCTTTACATATTTCTTCAAACATTGGTGCAAATCTAATCATTAAAACATTACTTTTCAGCTCAGTACAGCATTTTGCAACATCTAAGAGGCTATGCTTTAATTTTTTTAGATAAATTAATAAAAATCATGTTAGGAAATATAGTACTCATTGTCCGTGTCAGGCTACAGATGCAGCAGCAGTAGTATGTTAGAAATGGTAAGAACTAAATTACACATACAATAGCACTTATATTTTATGAAACTAAATCTTAAATGTTACATAAATATTTCATATTTGCAATTACAACAGTCTCCTGAGTTGCCAGCTGAGGGCTGTCCTTAAACTTTTTTTTAAATTTTGAAATGTTATTAACTAACAGACAAGTCCTCAGAACACTAAGGCTGTGTCTACACTGGTGTGATCTTCCGCAAAAGCGACCGCTCTTGCGCAAAAACTTGCTGCCTGTCTACACTGGCCGCATGTTCTTGCGCAAGTAAACTGATGTTCTAATGTATGAAATCAGGGCTTCTTGCACCAGAATTCTGACGCTTCCACTCAAGAACAAGACCTTTTGCGCAACTGTTCTTGCGCAAGAGGCCAGTGTAGACAGGCAACATGAATTTCTTGCACAAGAAAGCCCTATGGTTAAAATGGCCATCATATCTTTCTTGCGCAAGAGCACATGCCAGTGTAGACTCTCTCTTCTGGAAGAGTTTTTGCACAAGAACTCTTCCGCAAAAGAGTTCTTGCGCAAGAAGCCTAAATGTTGTACAGTGTATTTAAAACATCTACATCTGGGTCTCATCTTCTCCACTCCCTCTGTCATTTTGATGCCAGTCTGATTCAAAGTTACTAAAAAAGCTAAGACTGTGCTAACAATGCACTTAATTGTGGGGTAAGCCCCATTGAAAGCAAATATTGGATGGGATTCCTCTAGGAGAGCTGAGCTATGCTGAAGTAAAATAGGGAATAGACTTGCAACTCTAGATTTCTGTTACTGCAGCTTTCTTTGCTTTATGCTTGGGTGATAGATTCTAAACCTAGTTAACTAAGTAAACAGGCCGTAAGGATTAGCTTAGACTTTTTTCTAGCAACATCCAACATAGCAAACAACTTGTGAGTTTACTTGTTAAATCTTACTTGTACTAAAAGATATGAAGACTGATACATTGCAAAGTTGATCAACATTGTTCTTCAGCCATATTTACATCATTTTCTCCCAATAAGCATCATCGTTCCTTATGATGTTTCATTTTTGCAGCCAGGCTCTGCATCATCTTCTTGCACTGCTTACACTTGACACATTTTCCTTTTTTACCCAGGGAACAAATTTCTTCAAAATATTCTCCGATAGGGGTTTTTTTCGCCTAGAAGTCATGACAGTTTTTCTGCAGCAAAAGTGTGGGAAAATACAGGAAGCTGAGTCTGTGCTGAATGTCTTTTGTGATTGATGTTTTTCTTTCTAGTCCAGTCCAGTGTTCCTTTCTATGCTTCCTCCATCCTTTCCTATATACTATCTATCTTTAGACAGTGTCCTAACTCACTCTTCAGCCATCCTTGGCCCAGGTCCACCACCACAAAAGCACAGGATAAAAAACCAATTTATGTCTGTCTTTTCACATTTTAGTCTGCTGAGAGAGAGAAATTCAAAGCCCAGAACTTTAAAAAAGCAAGAGCTGGTAGTTAGGCCGGACAGACTAGAACCATTAATTTTTATGAGACTGTAAATGTATGTATAGCATGTTAGTAATGAGATTTAATTGTAACTCTTATTTTTAAATGAGAGATTTAGTATTTTATTGATAATTTTAAAAATTAATAATTGAGTTTTATCCTCCCTGTTGCTTTTGAAGAGGTGTGTGTGTGTTGGGTGAAGGGGATTTTGCTGATTTTGGGGGAATGCTATTTTCAGTATATTTACTCATTTCTTTCATATTCTAAGTATTGAATGTGTCGCTGGTACCTTTATTCTTTTAATAATGATTCAGTTTGGGCCTATATGCTTACATTTACATGAATTACATACAGTTCACTAAATCATTGCAGTCACAAGCTGTCTTCACTAATTTGAAAGATATTTTGTCTTGCTGTAGCTTTCCTAATGAAACTGTCAGCAATCTTATTTACACCTCCGTTCCTTAGTGTTGTTTTTGATGCCCATTAAGGACTGCTACATTATTCACTTGTCTGTCCCATTGATGACTGGAAATAATTTTTAAGTCTTCTGAAGTTGGAAAATGAGTTCAGGATAATATAGGCACAATTAGAAGGTGTCTTAGGAATTTGCAATGCTGTGGAAATATTGTACTTGTAAGAGGTGATTTGAAAAATACTGTTTATTTTGTTTATCATTTTACAGTGCAAATATTTGTAATAAAATAATATACAGTGAGCACTGCACAGCTTGTATTCTGTGGTTTTCACCTCTCTCACCACTTTGCGTGGAGTTGTATGTTCAGTGCTAGAGCTCTGTCTCGGGTGTGTGCACACTATAAAGGGGACAGCCCAGTATGGTGGGTGAAATCAGTATATTTGAAAATGTAGACAAACATCCACAATATTTAATAAATTTCAGTTAATATTCTATTGTTTAACAGTGTAATTAAAACTGCAATTAATTTTTCCAGTAATCTTGTGAATTACTGTGATTCATCCACAGCCGTAACCTTGAGTGATTTTGTATCATCTGTAAACTTTTCCACCTCACTATTTACACCTTTTTGCAGATAACTTATGAATTTGTTGGTTCCAGACTTGTACAAGCCCCCCGGGGGGGGGGGGGGGGGAAGAGCATTATTTACTTCTCTCCATGCTGAAAATGGACCATTTATTCCTACCCCGGAGCACCCACAGACAAAGGTGGCAAGTTCTATGAGCCTATATGACAGGGAGTGATGTGGGCTGAATCACAGAAATCCCCTTTGGGTTGCCTACCAGTGTATTTTGCTGTTGATGCCTGCCTTCCTGCCCTCTGTGACTCCCCACCACACTGCCCTCTGGGCCAGAAGTTCTGGCTTTCCCCAGCCAACACACAGAGTTGGAGTAATTGCCTCCCAGCAGAGCAACACAGATGCTGAACCAGTTCAGCTCTGAAAGGAATCAGCTATAAGTCCTTTGATACCCCCCCAAAAGGGATCAAAATCCCAAATAAATCCATCTCACCCTGTATAAAAGTTTTACATAGAAAAAGCTTATAAAGATTTTTGCCCCCTTTAACCAATGAAAGAGATGTGTGCACGGTGGTTACACTCACCCTCTGCCAGTAACAATTATTTACTCTAGTCTTGATAATAAACAAAAGTGTTTTTATTAAGTATAAAAAGTAGGAGTTAAGTGATTGCAAGCGAAGGCACACAGATCAAAGTAAGTTACTAAGCCAAGATAAACAAAAGACGCCAGCTAATTTGAATATATTAAAAAACTTTGTTATATATAAATTCTAACCCTAACCAGTTATCTCAGACAAGTGATGATCTTTTTCTGACTTGGGCCCAGCAGCTTTGCCTTCATCCTTTTCCTGCATTTCTTTGTTTCCAGGTCTCTTTGTGTGCATCCTCTTAGCGTGGGGAGGAGGGCTGTAAATTTTTTTTTTTTAAATTAGCCATGTTACTGATTGAAATTCGGTTAATTACAAAGTTAAATGCCCCACAGACTGCCAGTCTTGCAGTCTCCTGCCAGCTGCTGGCAACTTGAGCAGTTAGGTTAACTGATAAGCTAATGCTTATCGGTTAACCGGTTAAACTTTTACATCCCTAGTGGGGAGACAATTTCAAAAGTCAGCTGAAAACAAAAGGACTGACTGCTTTCCATTCCTTAAATAGACTGTCCTCCAGCGCAGGAATCCTTTGTTTAGTACTCCCTATCCCCATGGAAAATATCAGATTCAAGATGGTTTCCAGAATCAGCATCATGGTCACATGTCTTTTTAGGAACAACCACAGTTTGTTGGGAAAATAAAACCCTTCATCAGTTGTTGGTTTGAGTACTGAGCCATTCAATTCCTAAAGTATCTCTAACGGCCCTCATTAGACATTTAGAATTAAAACCAGATTCACGCTTCATATTTCTAACTTCACATCCAATAATGATACATGCACAAATATAGGATATATAGATTCAGCAGATTGTAACTTTAAAAATTATGTGGTCTGTTTTGCATAAAACATCTTTGAATTATGCATACAGTAATTCCTCATTTAACACGGTAGATACTTTTCAGAAAATGATCATGCTAAGTGGAAAGTTGTTATGCAGAGTTAGTTTTCCCGTTGAAAATAATGGAAAAGGTGAGGGTTACGTTTCAGGTGCACGTGCGCTCGCAGCTCCAGCCTGCACTTGCTAGCAGCTGGGACTGGGACATAAGGTTGGGGGAGAAAGGGGACTGGGTTATAGTAGGGAGGGGAGGTGTTTGGCTCTGGGGAAGGAAAGGACAGGGGAGGGGGCTTGCAGCCAGCGGCTGGGTTTCCCCAGCTGGCCGGTCACCGGCAGCTGCGCAGGGCTTCCCCTACCTCCTTACAAAGCGGCGGAGGTTTGCCGCTCGCCGCGCAGTTCCCCAGTGACGCCTTCTGGCCGGATGCAAGGCCTCTGGCCAGAGGGAGTCACTGGGGAACTGCGCAGTGAGTGGCAAACCTCTGCCGCTTTGCAGGGAGGCACGGGAAGCCTCGCGAAGCTGGTGGTCAGCCTTAGGGGAAATCGTGTTATTGCGGGGACAGGGTCGTGTTGTACGAAAAATGTTCCCTAAAAAAAAATCATGCTATCGCAAAAACGTGTTAAGCAGGCACGTGTTAAGTGAGGAATTACTGTATTCATATTAAGAAGCCAATTTTCATAAAGCATGGAGGGGCTATGACAATGGATACCAGGAATATTCTTGGCCTGGGGCCTAGATCTACCAAAGTTCAGGGCCACATTTCTCTGCCACCACTGCCACACATTGTCCTAGTGAAGAATGACTTTTAATGTGATACATCATGTCTATATTAATGCACATGATGAAAGCCATTCTGCACATGAACATAAAAAATTAGAGGGAACACTGCTGACCTGCAGTGTGATTTGACTTTGACACCACTGGTTTTGAGGTTTGTGTCAGTCTATTTGTTGATTATGCATACTCTGAAATTATAGTAAATTAATTGTTAGATGCTAAGGACTATATATAGTTAGCTATATTCTAAACTTATACATTTTCGCTGAAGACATAGCTCCATAAAAAGTCTAATGAGGACTCAGTGGTTAGGTCTACACTCATGGCTTCTTGTGCAAGAAATATGCAAATGAGACTGTGTGGAATATCACCGAGCATCATTTGCATACCTAATGAGCTGCCATTTTTGCAGAAGAGGCTCTTGTGCCAGAAGGAGCTGTCTACACTGCCCCTTCTTGCACAAGAAAAACCCTCTTGCACAATGCCGTTATTCCTGAAAATAATCGGCGTAGCAGCATTGTGCAAGAGGGTTTTTCTTGTGCAAGAAGGGGCAGTGTAGACAGCTCCTTTGGCGCAAGAGACTCTTCTGTAAAAATGGCGGCTCATTAGGTATGCAAATGAGGCTCTGCGATATTCCATGCTTAGCCTCATTTGCATATTTCTCGGCAAGAAGCCGTGAGTGTAAACATAGCCAATGTGATTAATGTCATTAACTGGAGTAGTTAGAAATTCTTTTGGGGGGAGAGACTTGATTATTTGGCTTTGGCTTGAGAGGATGAAAGCACACACACACAGCTTAAACTGTGGCGTTATTTAGTGGGGGAAGGGAAATGGCTCTTGAATTGACAAGTTTTTCTTTTCACAGTGATAATTCACAGGTGTTCCAGTCCAACATTTTGCGAACCCGCAGAAACAGTACAACAGTGATGAATCGTCATAGTCTGGTAAGAAAGTACTTAGTGCAGACATATTGTTCATTTGTTTTTTGGATCTAAACAGCTTTAAAGATGAACAAGGCTGTAAATTGAAAATTAATGCCACATATTTTGCAGCTGTAGTGAAATTCATTTAAAAGATCATCTGGCTTTAGGAAACTTTTTGTGTCATTCTGAAGACAACCTAGTTCATAACTTATTTAAGCATAGGTTCTAAGATTGAATAAAAAGTCCAGTTTGGAAAGAGAATTGGTGTACTTAGAATCACCAATCAGCTATTCCTTGGTCTCAATAGCCTCTGCTTTGAATGTTTATGATTTTAAATAAATCCATTAAAATTACCTTTATATTACATCATAGATTATAAGACAGTAAGGAATGTTATGATACTATAGATGCCCTCCAGTAAAACACAGAACATAAAACTTCACTGAATTCTTGCCTATTTGAACTAAAGTGTATCTCTTAGAAAAACATCCAATCTTAATTACAAATTTTCCACTGTAACAATTTTGTAGACTTATACTACTTAGTTAGCAAATATTTTCATCTAAATTTAGTACAGTGCTTATTTATGAGCCCAAAAAAGATGCAACTTCTGTTTAACAATATTGTTTCTTTTAAGTAAAGCATTCATAATCTGAGTTATGGTGGAAAGGTGCATTTCTGGAGAGCATGGGGAGGAAACAGTTCTCTTAAAAAAACAAACAAAAAAAAAACCACAAGAGGATTTTTGACTAGAATTTAAAAATAAAATATAATTTCACTGAAAACTGGTACATTTCTTCTAAAATGTATTCTGTATTTAACAAAATTGGCACAGGTGCAGTAACATGTTAATTTCATACAGTTCACAATTTATGTACTGTGAAGATGGAATGTCTCGTGTTAATGACAGTTTTTCTTACGTAAAATATACAAGATGCTTAGACATTTGCTAACTTGATGATTCTTACTATTTTGGATTACTTTAGGTGGGGATAACTTTTAATTCATCCCCTATCTTGCATAAAGAACCTCCACTGCCTCCAAGTTAAAATTCTATTTCAAAAGTAGGCAGGAATATACAATCTTGTTTAATTGGTTAACCAGTTAAACGTTGTGTTTAACCAGTTAATTGATTAAAGGCGAAGTGGGGGCACATAGGCAGGAGCTGATCCATCTTGGCTGGAGCAGTCCCTACCTGCAGCAGAGAGGCCACTCCAGCCTGGGGAGGAAGGGTGTGGGCAGGGCTGCTGGCTTCCAGCTCCACATGAGGCTGCCAGTGGTGCTGGTACCAGTTAACTGTTACCCAGTAAGCATCACCCTTGTGTTATCTGTTCACATTCCTAAAACTAGGTCAGACAACTCCTTTGGAGAGAATTTGTTTTTGTAGTGGTCTTGAGATCCTTTATTTAAAGACACCAGCTGATGAGCATTAACATGGAAGCAGCGTTTGTACTGCTTAAGCAACAAAACATGATGTAGTGGTAATGACACTGTAATTATGGTTGAAGAAACATTTAGTTGGAAGCCTTTCTTTTTAGGCTTTTTATTTTTAAAGTTACATTTTTAGACTACAACTTCTATACTTGCTTTCAGACCAAAGATAAATTGCTTTCCTTTCCAGTCATGCATTTGGGTTTCCTTTAGTATTGAAGAGATTCACTTAAACAGTGGTCAGCAAGAGTCAGCACTTAAGAGGGAATAGACCTTTAAAAAAAGTTTAAATCACTAAGATTCTTTTTCAGTTGACCTTGATACAAAGCCAAAGAGAGGCAAGTGCGATGATCTAGTTTTAGTCTATTCTGAAGATTAACTGAGCCAAAGATATTTTAGGTACTTAATAGAAGTTATCTTTTTTATTTTATTGTTTAAAAAAAAATCTGAGTGGTTTAGAAAAGGGTGTTTGGAGACCTCACAAGTGACCCAAAATGTGAAGATGAAGAAGCCAATATAAACAAGGTTGGGGAGCAAAAAAAACTGTTAAGCAATGGATTGTCATACCAACAGCAGTAGTAAGAATACTTCAGAGAATGAGGTATGTGCCTACTTAATAAGAGGCAAATATTTCCCAGGAAAGGGAGAGATAATTGAGTGTCTATATACAAGATGCCACAAAGAACTGCTACAGACAAGGGAACACATAATAATTTTTTCTGATTGAGATCCCATTTCCCTGGCTGGGAACAAGGATGGATAAAAATCAATGCTTTAAAAAAATTAAAAATAAGATTTAAAAAAAATTAAATCATTAAAACTCTTTACATTTCTCATTTTAAAATAAGATACAGTTAAATCTCTTCATAAACATGCTAAATTTATACTTTCAGTCTCATAAAAATGAATTAATGTTTGTCCAGCCTAACTACCAGCTCTTGCTTATTGAAAGTTCTGGGCTTTCAGTTTCTTTCTCTCAGCAGACTAGATTAATATGCAAAGAAAGCCACGTGCTGGTTAAGAATGTTTTTGTTCTGTGGTGGACCTGGGCCAAGCAGGGCAGACCAACTAGTTAAGACATTGACTTAAAGACAGAGAGGCAAAATATAGCAAAGGACGAAGGCAGCATAGAACGGAACAGTGGATTATACAGGAAAGAAAAAGGGATGACATTATTTAGCGCACACACAGCTTCCTATATTCCCCCACGTTTGCCACAGAAAAACTGTCATGGCTTCTGAGCATAAGAAAGACCCTATCTGCAAATATTTTGAAAATTTGTTACCTGGATAAAAAAGGAAAATGTGTTTAGTGTTAGCAGTGCATGAAGATGATGTAGGGTCTAGTTGCAAGTTGAAACATCATAAGGAAAGCTGCTTATTGTGAGAAAATGATGTGGATGAAGGTGTGGATGTGTCTGAAGAGCAATGTGGATTAACTGGTTAGTAACAATTCTCTTTCCTCATTCCTCAAGACTCTCTCTGTGCCTTTTAGTATAAGTGTGATTTAATAAGTAAATTCCCAATCTGTTTGTTATGTTGGATATTGTTAGGAAAAAAAGTTTATCTTGGATCAAATCTATACTAGACCTGGAAGGTTAGTTTAAGGTACGCAATTCCAGCTATGTAAATAACGTGTAGAAAATAACATAGCTGGAGTCAGTGTACCTTAAGCCAAGCTTAGTGCAGTCTCCAGCAGGCGGTCAATGGGAGAAAATGCTGCTGCTGACTTCCCTTACTCATCATCTAATAAACCATCTTGTTAGTCTTTAAAGTGCTACATTGTCCTGCATTTTGCTTACTACTTGTGACTGTGAAGAGTGCTGGCGCTGACTGGGGGCACCCTCATTGTTCGATTTAGTGGGTTCTTATTAGACCCGCTAAATCAGCGATCTCCAACCTTTTTACACCCAAGATCACTTTTTAAATGTCAGGACAAGCCAAGATCTACCCCATCCCTTCCCCCAGACCTTACCCCTTCCTTGTGGCTCTGCTCTTTCTGTTCCCCTCTGCTCTATCACTTGCCCTTATACACTCTCAGGGTACGGCTACACTGCTGCTTTTTTTATCCTTCTGTCTGAAGAAGTTTTTCTGACATTTGGCCTGTCTAGAATGGGCCAAATGTCGGGAAAAACCCTTCTTTCAGAAGGTCCCTTATTCCTCGTGGAACAAAGAATACAGGGGCTGCTGAAAGAGAGTATTTGCTCTTCCACTAAAAAAAGTGGAAGAACAAACGTGTCCCTGGATGTGGAAGAGTTTTTCCGGGATACTGGAAGTATCCTGGAAAAACTCTTGTAGTCTAGCTGTACCCTCACTGGTTGATATGTGGGGTGGGAAGGAGGGATTTGGGTGTGGGATGGGGTGAAAGGTGCAAGCTCTGGGAGGGAATTTGGATGCAGGAGGATGTGGCAATGGGGCTCCAAGCTGAACATAAGAATGGCCATACTGGGTCAGACCAAAGGTCCATCCAGCCCAGTATCCTGTCTGCTGACAGTAGCCAGTGCCAGGTGTCCCAGAGAGAGTGAACCGAAGCAGTAATGATCAAGCGATCTCTCTCCTGTCATCCATCTCCACCTTCTGACAAACAGAGGCCAGGGGCACAATTCCTTCCCCATCCTGGCTAATAGCCATTAATGGACTTAACCTCCATGAATTTATCTAGTTCTCTTTTAAACGCTGTTATAGTCCTAGCCTTCACAACCTCCTCAGGCAAGGAGTTCCACAGTTTGATTGTGCGCTGTGTGAAGAAGAACTTCCTTTTATTTGTTTTAAACCTGCTGTGTGTGATGGGCTCAGGGCAGGGAGGTTGGGAGTGTGATGGGCTCAGGACACAGATTTGCAGTGTGTGGATGGTGCAGGAGTATTGTAGCAGAACACTGAGGATGTAGGGGTGCAGGAGTTTGGGGATGTGAGAGGCTCAGGACAAGGGGGTTCCAGTGTATGATCGGCTCAGGTTTGGGGCTTTGGGGGGTGCAAGAGCATTATGATGCTGAGGCCAGATGGGGGCTTGGTCCCAATTGGGGGGCTGCTTGTCCAGGTTTTATTTTTAAATAGACTATGATGTCAAATACACAATTTTTTAGCATTGTCTTTGAGAGTGGCGGGGAACCTGTTTTGAGTCAAGGGTCACTGACCCACAGAAAAGTGAGTCAGGGCCACACAAGTGAGATGCAAAAAAAACAACCCCTCCAAAACCCCCCAAGGCTCCCAATGTGGCCCCCAGCTGTGCTGGTGGGGGCTGGGGAAGGGTGTTGGCAGGTGCTGGAGCAGGGTGCTGGGACAGGGTGCTGATGGGTACTGGGGCAGGTGGCAGCGTGCTGGTAGGTGCTGGGGCAGGGGACAGGGTGCCGGTGAGTGCTGGGGCAGGGTTTAGGGCCATGGTCACCAACCGGTCAATCGCGATTGACTGGCCGATCGTGAGGCGTTCGGGCCCCTCCCCCATTTTCCCCCCAGCCCTGAGAAGTCCCACTACCAACCTCCAGTCACAATGGAGGTAGTACTGGCTTCCTGCAGGGTGGACGGAAGTCCTGCAGCTTTGCACCACTTCTGGGGGTTCTGGAAGTGCACTGGCTGCTCCCCTCCCACAGGTCTGTGGCATACCGGGCGTGCTGTGGGAGGCACCTTGAAACAGTTTTCAATCGCTAAGCCAACTTTTCACAGCAGTAGCTTCCTCTGCATGCACAGAGAGAATATGGTCATCATTTGGTGTTATTCACATACTCATAAGAATTTGACTGAGAGTTGAAAAAGTATTTCTGTGTCAGTCTGTGAATCAAAAGGGCAGTAGGAGTGGGGAAGATAAGAGCTAATTGGAGATGTTTTAAGTAGGGGATGTGAAAGTATAACTGTATACACAGTTAACTGATGACTCTGGCAGCAAAGGGGTGAAGTGGAGAGAGCTAGTACAGCTTGCTTTTAGCTCCCTATGCCCACCTGCTCCCCTGCCTCTTCCCCTCCCCAGTAGTTGCTGCCTCTGATAGCTCTCCGTGTGCACCGGTTCCCACCTGCCTGCTTCCCTGCGTGTAACCACTGAAATTCTCAGCAGTTAATTGATTACTTAATTAAATACATTTTAACATCCCTAGTTTTAAGGACACTGTACATTTAGTGTTCTGAGGACTTGTCTGTTAGAGTTAATAAAATTTGAAAAAAGGTATGTACAGATAGTCATTACCTGGCAACTCAGGAGGCTGCTACACATGTTGCACATATGAAACATGTATGTACCATTTACAGTTTTGTTTAGTAAAATATAAGTGCTGTTGTGTTTGTGAGAGAGATTTAGTTCTTTATCATTCCTAATGTACTGTGCTGCATCTGCAGCTTGTCACAAGTAATGAGTATTATGTGCTATTTCTCAAATTAATGAAAATCGTTATCTATAAAATTACATAAAGTGTGCCCTTAGATGTTGTAAAATGCTGTTGAGTTGTAATGAGTTGTAAGTTGACATGTTTGTGATCAGATATGCACAAGTGTTTAAGAAAAATGTGAAGAATCAGTGAGAATCTGGATTTAAAACCATGTGGATTTTTTCTTGGGTGATTTAAATCATGATTTAAATTGCCTTGATTTAAATCAATCAACCCTGATGCTGATCCATATCCTGTAGCTTTGGACTTGTAGAAAACTTAAAGCATGTTTTGTGGGAAACTGAGGAAGCTTACTATCTGCAGGATAGACTTTAATAACTGGAAAGTGCATGTAATTTATGCTACATGATTCCCTTTATTTTTCATCTGGCAGATTCCATGCAGTATGAAATAATGACAGACACTTAAAGAATGAGGTCCTCACCGCTGTTGACACTCATCCTCATTACAAAGCCACATCACAACTTAGCAAGTTTGATCTTTGTGCAAGAGAACTAGGTCATTAACAGAACTATGTGATTCATACCTAAGGCTTCTGGTCCCTGACTGTCATGAGCATCATAAGTTACTCAAATGTGTACTATTAAAGGAAAGAGAATGACTAAATAATTGATTTAAAGTAAATTTGCATGAAACTAATTATCATACGTAGTGGTGAATGAAAGAACTTCAACAAAAAGATTTAATACGTCCTGCAACTTGAATTATCTATGCTAGTGGTAGGCTGCATGCAGCCCATTAGAGTTCTATGTGCGGCCCATGAGATATTTTGTTAATGTTGCCCATGCGTAGAGTTGCTAGATTCTGCCAGTTTTCGTCCATATACCGGTATTTATTTCCTACCAGTATAACAAAAGTGGCATGCACTTACAGGAAAGGCATGTGAAGTGAGGTGATTGCAAACAACATTGTGAGAACCCTGCGTTCCTCTGCATCCAGTCAAAGCACTGCTATAGTTCAGTGGATACATCCTGCAAATTTTAGTTAGCCAATCTACCCTAATTGTCTTGGTTATGACACTCTTGCAGCCCACTTAGATGGAGGGCCACTCATGCGGCCCACTCACTAGCCTACAGTTGGCCCTTACTGGTGTATGTTGACAGTCATTATAAAAGTTTTGCTTTCTTTGTTGAACTACAGTAAGCCATTGGCTCAATACCTAGGAACTAATAAATGATCATTTTTATCAAACTGGAAGTAAAATATAGAAATAAAGAATCTGTTCAAGTCCCTGGAGTGCGGTTTACGTCTCTGCCAGATTAAATTGGTACTTGACCCTTCAGATTTTTCCTTGTTATTAGATATCATTTTATGGGTTTTTGTTTTTGATTTGTTGTATGCAGCAGCAAGGAAGAAAATGGTAACAGAATGTTCACAGATACTCTTAGCGAAGCCATTTCCCTGTCAATTTTCAACTTTGTCATTTGAAGTTAGAGCTTTTGAGGGGGAAAGAGCACTCCTTGTGCTTTAATGACTGAATCTCTCTTTTGATCTGTTATGTCAGAAATAATCACCTGCAGGCAGAGACCATCCCTGGAAAATTCCTGCTCAATAAATTGTTGCTTTAGCATTATGAACAACTTACAGCAGCTTTAAGATGGAAGTGATTATGGCACCTTATCTATTGTGCTGTTTTAACTATTATGGGTGGGCTGATATTGACAACACAATCCATGAAAGGTGATGGTTTTTAGTAGTCTAAAACTGAAGTGGGATAGAGTTTGGCACATAATAATTAGGAGTCATTGCTAAGCACATGGAGCAATTTAATAATGAAATTGTGAGAGAGCACTAAACTAAGTTAATACACATTTATAGATGTGTGAAAAATGTACTGCATTTAACATATATGCAGAGTGTGATAGATGCTATTTTGGTAATATTTTGAGAATGAAATAACATTAGAAAAAAGGTAGCGTCAAACCTCCTGCAACTGATTTTGCAGTTTTAAAAATGGTTCAGCTATATGGTGTTTGGTTTGCAGTTGGTGCCATCGTCTCCTGTTCGTATTCCTAGCAGCCGCCTTCATCAAATCAAACAGGTAAGAGAAGATTCTATTTCAGTTTTTTAAATAATAAGACCTAGAAAGTTTGCTTTATTGACTTTACACAAGATGATGTATCCTACTAATAATCATTAATAACTTCACTTGGAAGCAGTAGCTGAGCTGTAAAAAGTGTTCAGCAATATCTGTCACTTCAAGGTGCATTTAATAGTCACAGGTTGAATTGGTTATCAGAAATGCAAAACATTTACAGAAAATATAGAATGTTTCCTAATGTATTCTGCTGAGCATAGTTAATCATTTTTATAAAGGAGTCAAAAAACTATCAGACACCTTTCTCCCCACATAGAAAGCTGGTTGTCCTATTTCTTGCAGCCCCATTTGCAATCTAGAACTTCAAGTCCAAGGTATTTTGCTGGGCTCAAATACACTACCTGCATTCCTCCCAATTGAATTGTTCATAACCATAAAATGATGGGCTGTGGCTTTTGTGGTGGTCAAATTTCAGTCTTCATGCTCTGGAAAACTTAAAGGTTTGGAATAGCTAAAAGTTTTGTATAGTGCTGAATAGCATACTATATTTAATTGGTCAGAGAAACTGACGAGATATACCAGTGTTCAGCACAGAAGCAGTTGGGTGCCAGCCTCCATCAAGGCAAGAAGGCTGTTGCTGATTGCTGCGTGTTAAGCTTGGAGACTCTCAAAATGGAGAAGCTAGTGTCAAGTTGAGGGATATCAGGAGAATGGTCCATCCAGCCAGGCTTCCCACATCTTCATACTTTCTGTACCACCAAATTTTCCTTCTTGTGAAACATGGCTGGTACTGAGTTGTGAACATTTGTTTAAAAAATATTTTTTAAAACCCTTCCCTATCAATGCAGTAAGCGTGTTAAAATTGTAACGTAAGAATGCACTTCTTTTTTTGACTACAAGCCTGTTTCAAAGTACAGTTAGATTTCATATAAATACAATTATCTTGGTTTTCTTTTGGAAGGGAAGAATCATAGAACGTAAATTTCCAGATGGAAACCTCTAATAATATAAACTCTGTAATAGGGATTAAACACTTTTAAAACAGCTTAAGTTAAAGCTGTGCCATAGGATACACTGCCCTTTAAAGTATGACTTCAGAAAACACATGAATTCCAAATACTTGTAAATCTTGTGACTTTTAAACTGCTTTTATAAAATGAGAAAAACTCTTCAAGCATTACATTTCCACTGTACGTGTTTGCAGGTGGCTGAAGGTACTTGGTCTCCAGCTTCCTTCCTCCTCAAACACTTGAGGAACATAGTAATCTTGAAGAAATTCACAGCCTGTTTTGTTTTTATTGTGTAATTTGTGTATTGACTAGCTTTAACATGGAAATGAATTCATTGAAGAGTTCCTTTTATTAATATAGGAAAGGACTAATCTTAAGCTGTACACATGGATGGGATGGAGTAGAGGTGCAGGGAAGGCACTATAGGTATTTCTTATTTGGCACAGTATTTCTATTAAAACTTCTAGCTATAAGGTAATATAGTAATTGTTTGCTAATTTTCAGTTTTTTTGGAATTTGAGAATTACATTGTTGCATAATCATAGCAATTATTCCACACAAAAGCTCCACTAAAAATTGTTTGTGAATCTTTGAAGGTTAAAGTTAAATCATGAAAAAGCTGCTCTCCTTGTAAACATATGCTATGCTAGAGTGAAATTGACAAAAACATAGGCACTTCCATTTGTGCATTTACAAATACTTTTTCATAGTCCTCAATTACATAGACTTCTGCATTCATTGCCTAGGATTCCAGTGTGCAGTAGGTTAATCGTCAGACCTATACTTATTCCTCCTCTGTTCAATAAGTGGATCCCTACCATGATTCTTTGCTCAGTGTCCAATCTATGCATTTAATGAGTTCTGAGGAATGGTACATGCTTGTGTATTTAAAAACAATATTGTAATGCATACATACAGGGAGGGAATGAAGTTTGTGTACAATTTTAAATGTAGTATTTCTTTTTCATAAAAAAAGTTTTGTTTTGCTATCAATACATTTTAACACTTTTTTTAAAAAAAGTCTTAGTTTTTTAAAAGAAACAATAAAAGATTCCGTAGCGTAGAATAGTTTTCTAATGGTCAGTAAAATGCTCTGTTCTATACAAGTTACACACTCCCTAGGTATACTTGTGTATGGAATGAGGTGAGACGCCCATCCAAATTGTGACCTGAAGTGAAGAGGAAGAGTTTCTCTGACTCATTTTAGCAAAAGAAAGTTCTATAAACCAACTTGTAACTATTTCTCTGTTCATATTTATATTGATATTATTCAGGAAGAAGGAATGGATTTGATGAACAGAGAAACAGTACATGAACGGTGAGTATTGGTATGCAAAAAGAATACCTAAACTCTGTCTCTCTGGGCCAGTGATGATGGATTTTTTTTTCTTTTTTGTAGGGAAGTGCAAACAGCAATGCAGATCAGCCAGTCGTGGGAGGAAAGCTTGAGCCTGGTAATGTGCTTATGCTTTAGATTTGAGCTTCTATCTTCAATGTTCTAACATCTTGTATTGCTGCATTTTATTGTACATAGTATATTTAATTTCTTTTAGAGGAAACTTGCACAGATTAGGCTTGCTGTTTAACATGGTTTTGGTCTAGTAACACTTATTATTGCTGTCTTACCACAAGTTTTGTACTAATAAGGCATGAAATCACAAGTAGCTCAATGACACATGGCTGTCACACAGCTATTAGAATATAGTTTTGCCTGATACATTAAAAGGTAGTTCTATTCATGTCTAATCTTTGTTAATAGAAGCTTTAATATCAGCACATAATGTTTAACATTATTTTGTCAAAAGTATGAAATTTGTCTTCTATGTAGTCATAGTAACAAATTCTTACATTTAGTCATTTGTTAGGGTGACTTCCATAATGTGGTTCCATTCCACAACAAAGCAATCCTTTGTATAATATTTAACATCTAGCCTGGCCCACTAAATATTGCATTAAAGCAATTGGCTGTAATTACATGATCTGCTATGCTTATAGAGTGACAGTGATTTTGAGAAAGCATCCTCTCCCAAGCAAATAGACTTTGTCCCAGTTTCTCCAGCTCCTTCACCCACCAGAGGAATAGGGAAGGTAAGAAAAATCAAGTGATAGAGTATGAATAGTGCTAAACAAAAATCTAACTAACATTAGCAAAGGATGAAACGTCTCATATCCCTGACTTCTGCATGGGCATTCACTGCAGACAGGGAACTAAAATATTAAAAAGGTTAACAGCAGTACAACCCATGAATTTATCTACAGAATATCTTAAATATTAATACCAAGCAGGTATATTTATTGATAAATTGTTGGTACCTTGGTGGTAAATAAGTCGTTGTCTTTGTCTGCCTTTCTTTGGGGAAAAGAAGGGGATTTTAGGAACTAAATCGGTTGGTTCATTGAAAGGTTAAGAGATACATACATATTCTGATCAATATACTGCCAAATTGCATGCACTCCGTATGTACATTAAGGATGATAAATTTAGATTAATGAACTAATTGAATAGTTGATGTAATTTGCATCGACTATTCGATTAGTCGATAAGGGCGCGTCTGCCTTCGAAATTTACCAAGAGCTCTGTCAGCTCTTGCTACATTATAAAGGCAAACACAGCTCTCTGCTTTTGAAATATACAAGAGCCCCACGAGGCTATCCACGCGCCTAACCCCATGCTCCTGGCGGTGCTTTGCTTTTGAAATGTAGCTCTGCTCTTGCTACATTTCAAAGGTGGAAGCGCTGTCAGTTCCCTGCTGGGCCGCTGCCCCTTTTCCCCACGGAGATGGTGCTGGGGGAAGCTGGCTTCCCCCAGTACCAGATCCTTTCCCTCCCCCTCTCTTTGATAGAGGCAGCAAGGGGAGGAGGAAGTGACTAGTCAACTATCCGATAACCATTTTATCAGACAGTCAACTAGTCGCTTACATCCCTAATGTACGTGATGAATCAGTCTAAATTGTCCTGGAATTTTCTTCAAAACTTAATCAAAAGTGATAAGTAAAGTAAATAAGGTAGTTATTTTAGATGAATGATGAGTTGCATGGTCTAATATTGTAAAATCCTCTTATTAAGACACTCATCGTATTCCTTAAGTCTCTCTGTTTCTCTGCATGTCGGGAATTCTGATTAGTTTATTACAGTAAGCATTGAAGCATGATGTTAATATTTAAATATTGCAATATATTTTGTTTTCAGCAATGTTTCTCACCGTCTTTGCAAAGTTTGGTGAGTAGCAGTGGATTACCTCCAAGCCCTAGCCCCAGTCCAACAAGGCGATTCTTAAAGTACGTACAAATCTGTAAAACTAAGTCTGCATACTGTGTATATGGGGATTGTTCACTTGAGGCATCTGAAATATCAAGACTTAACTTATGCATAATAAATCTAAACAATGGTCTTGGTGATTCAGCTCTCCAATTCCCATAGTAAATCCATGCAACTTAAATTCTAGAGTTTATAAAGTACCAAAATAAATTCCTGACATCAGGAAGCTGAGTTACTAAGCAATCTGGATCTGATTTTTTTCAATAGGTTTTCTATAGGACATAATCACATACAGAGTAGAATGAGCTTCTGTCAGAAGATGATGAATTAATTCCCAGGTTTTGAAACTGGGTAATATCAGCCTGTAGATTGGCAAAAATTAAGAAGAAACATTTATTTTTTTAAAATTATAATAGCATCTATAGGACCCAGTTAGAGATCATAGCCTCCCAATGAGAGACCACATGTTGCAGTGATAAGACTGTTCCTGCCCCTGAAAGGATTCATTTTTGGGTATTGCAAAGCTCATCAGGTGTACAATCAAACTGATGGAGAGAAGGGAAAATGTGAGAATGGGAAGGACAAGGAAACAGTGCAAGGAGCAACTTTTGAAGAGTAGGCAGAAGTTACACAGTTTGCCACTTGTGCAGCCATGGTCAGCTGTAGATGTTTTATTGCCACATTTGAGACTCATCACTCCATAAATATTGTGATTGTGGCTATTTGACCTTTTAGTCCAGGGGTGGCTAACCCATTCCGGGCAAACAGCCGAGATATCAGTGAATCCTGCATGAAGAGCTGGGGCAAAGTTGTTGAGCCAAAAAAAAAAAAGGAGCCCCTGGCTGCATTTGATTGAGAGGGGGTGAGAAAAAAAGGGACTGCCCCTTTTTAAAGAAAACGCATTTAGAGTCTTTTTGGCCACATCAGGTGCCTGCCGGCCGACGTCATCTTTAATGGCCGCACCAGTTGGCTCCCTTGCCCCAGTGAGCAAAGGGATCCAGGAGGAGAGGGCCGTTTTCAGGGGTGTGGAGGTGGCTTCACGAGCCACGGGGGGGGGCGGGGGGGGGGGGCGTCGGGGGGCCCAG